TATGAGTATTCTGGAACACTTAATTGTGCCTATGAGGAATCAGTAAATGTTGTTTGAATATAACATGAAAACACTGAATGATTTAAAATTAAGAAAGGTGTGCAACAAGGTTGTATTCTTTCAACTTACTTATTCAACCTCTTTGTTGAACAAATAATTGGAGAAGCTGGGTTATATGAAGAAAAACATGGCATCAGGATTGGAGGAAGACTCATTAACAATCTGTGATATGCAGATGATATAACCTTGCTTGCTGAAAGTGAAGAAGACTTAAAAAATTTACTGATGGAGATCAAAGAGCACAGCCTTCTATATGGATTGCATCTCAATGTAAAGTAAACAAAAATCATCATCATCACTGGACCAATAAACAACATTCTTATCAATGGAGAAAAGATTGAAACTGTCAAGGGCTTCATTCTTCTTGGATCAACTATCATTTCTCATGGAAGCAGCAGTCAAGAAATCAAAAGACATATTGCATTAGGCATATCTGCTGCACAAGACCTTTTAAAGTGCTGAAGAGCAAAGATGCCAGCTTGAAGACTAAGGTGTGCCTGACCAAATCCATGGTATTTTCAATAACCTCATATGCATGCAAAAGCTGGACAATGATTAAGGAAGAAGGTAGAAGAATTGATGCATTTGAGTTATGGTGTTGGAAGAGATTTTTCAAAGTACAATGGGCTGCCAAAAGAACAATGAGATCCATGTTGGAAAAAGTGCAGCCAGAGTGCTCCTTGGGGGCCAGGATGGCCAAATTTCATCTCTCATTCTTTGGACATATTGTCAGGCAGGACCAGTCTGAGAAAGATATCATGTTTGGTAAGTTGAAGGGTCAGAGAAAAAGAGGAATACCCCAGCAAGATGGATTGTCAAGGGGGCAGCATCAATGGGCTCAAGCATGGCAACTATAGTGAGGTTGGCCCAGGATCAGGCAGCTTTTCATTCTCTGTGCATAAGGTCACTATGAGTCGGTACTTACTCGATGGCACCTAACAACAACAACAACAACAACAATTAATAAAAGTCCTAGTGTGGTGCTGTGGGTTTATATGCTAGATTGCAGATTCATTTGAACCTCAAGGTCAGAGATTCAAGCTCACCAGTTGCTCCTTGGGAACCCTATACAGGTTGGCTATCAATCAGTCAGAACTGACTCTACAGCACTTAACAACAACAATTAATTCAAAACTCAATGGCTAGAATTGTAATCACTATACTGTACTGTTTATTTCAGTGCAGTGATTTATCTAAGATCATTTCTTGCAATAATGTTTGTAAATTCTTACTAAGCAATTTTTTTTTTCCTGATTGGTCTGGATTAAATAAAGTGGTGAATATATTAATAGATAATGTTACTATTTTTATGTGTGATAACAGGGTTAACTGTGAAAATTTGGGACTCTGACTTGTATAAAATGAGCCATCAATGTAGCAAGAATGGAGGATCTCACTAACATAAATTGAGAAAGAACCAAAAACACTGTACATCTTCTGGACCTTAAGATCCCTATACATTGAGCTTCCTCAACTTAGGGATAGGTGGCTGTGACACCACAGGTGAATCAGAGGAAGAGCACAGAAGCAACAATAGCAGAAACCAAGAGCCAGAGCATGAGAAAGAGTGGTCTTGCCAACCAATGAACAAGTAAATCTGAGTGACATTGGGCAGGATGCTTTCTTGCAGAGTGATATGTCTCCAGGAATATCACGCAATTAGGGGAGTTAAGTGTGCAGATCTGAAGAGTTAGACTTGAGTGTCTACAGCAGAGATGAGGAACTTTTTTCTGCCAGAATTTAAAAAATCATTTACAGGTTATACAAAATCACCAACAATGTGATGACTAGAGTCTTGGTGTAATGCTGTGGGATAAAGTACTGGGCTGCAAGGTTGGTTTCACCCACAAGGTTGACAGTTCAAACTCACCAGCTGGTCCTTGGATATCCTGTACAGGGTCACTTTGAGTCAGAACCAATTCAGTAAAACTTAACAACAATAGCCATGCAATGATTGGAACTGCATTTACCTTGGTAGAGCCAGGCCAAATGATTTTGAGGACCTTATATGGCTGGTGTTGCACTGAAGGTTAATGTACTGGACTGCAAAGTCAGATTGAAATGCCAGCTCAGTAGCCCAAGCTCATCAGATGCTCCTTGGAAACCCTCTAAAGGGTCCTATGGGTCAGAACTGACTAACAGCACTTAACAACAACAACATACAGCATATGGCCCACAAGCCAGATTATTCCCATCTCTGGTCCACATCTACAGGTTAAGGCTTGTCCTAGAGTAGTATGCTCTGTGAACATTTGTCAATAGCCCTAAATTAACTTTGTAGCATTTCCAGAGCTGTGCAGAGATCAGGCCAATGGGATAAGCGCCAAAAAAGTGGTTGTCATGGCTGGAAGAGCATTGCCTTGAGTATTTTCGGATCCTGTATTGTAGCCTTTTAACTTCTCTAATAAGCATAACTTTTAGTATGATATCTTAGTTTTGTGTGACCATAGCAAAAATTTAACTGAATCCAGCTATGGTAGGGATGGTATTCACCATATTTTGCAATTGACATGAGGAATAGAATTTGTTGAAATGACACAGACTGCTGGAAGTGTGAGTCTTTTAAAAAGAAAGAACAAATGGAAGTGAAACTTTTGATTCTTAAATCTTTATCTATGTCATTGTTACCTGAAATATCTATAAGGAATGTAAGAGAATACTTGCACAGGAATCACATGGGGGATAAGTTTGGTTGGTTAAACAAAATGGCTTATACGGGTCTAGGGCCTACTTGATCTGCTCTGCCAGACAGAACTGAAAGCCATATGTGTATGTGCAATAAAAATGGTTATTGGGTATCTTGATTACAGAGATAAGCAGAGAGTGCTGTAGGCTGGATGGTTTGATGCTCATTTGTGCAATTATAATATATTGTTATTTTATAATGATTTAGGACTTAGATAGTTCACATGAGAAGACAAATAATTGATTAAAAATGATTGACTGCTAAAAGGGGGCAATAAAGGCACAAAGTGACTGGCTTACAGATTTGCAAGTGGGAATTTAGTTTTAGAGTGTGTGGTGGAAGATAGAGTCCCCACTGAATAGTTTTAATCCTGTCTAGATGGGTCTGATGAAAAGAGATGGAGATAAGATTTTTATGATTCAATAGTGAGTAATTGTTATTGTGACTAATTGTGACTGTCACAACTGTAAAGGTAGACATTTTGTAACAAAAATGGGATTAGTTAATCTTACAGTCCCAAAAAAATGACCCTAGGAACATCAAGGGAGAAGAGCACAAGGAGAATGAGGGACCCTATCCAGAGAAGCAGCAGCACCTTAGATGGAGGCAGATATGAGGACATGGAGAAAAGGAGCAGCTGAAGACTCTAGCCTCATGGAGAGAGAGACTGAGTTCTGGCGGGCAGGAGACAGGCTTGTAGAATGTGTCATTTGGTTATTTAAATTATTATATATTTCTGAGGGTTTTTGCATACATCTCCCTATCCCACCTCTCCATCCCCAGAAAAATAAAAACAGAGCGAATGGAAGCAAATGATGGTGTAAAGCCAATGCTCCCCCATGCAAACTATCATTCAGTTCACAAAAAAAAAAAAAAAAAAGTGACTGCTATAGAAAAAAAAACAAAAAAACAATACATGAATTTGTGTATTTGTGTTTCTAAGAAAATACAAAAACCAAAACCAAAAACTGTTTTGGTTCTTATTATCCCTTACTGTTATTACTTTGAAATCATTGATTTCTTTGACAAACCTAAAGGAAATTGTTACAATATCAGGTCCGCCATTTTAGGCTGTACCTTCTGGGTTCTTCCCTCTCCTCTCCCTTCAACTCCATTTTGTAGCCTTAAGCTACAAGGTGTGTAGTTTAAAGGGCAACGTGGCTTTTGATAGGCCACAGCTGAATCACCTTAGCAATGACCACTCCCTTCCTGTTGAACCTATATATGACCACTCCTTTCTACCTTCTTCTCTCTTCTTCTTCTTCTCCCCTTCTTTCTGCCTTCTGCTTTCTCTCTCTGGCAGAGTTGACCTTCCTCTTCTTAATCCTGAATAAAAGTCTCTAGATGGACCATCTGGTGTGCAGTATGGTTGGTAAGCAGTGCCGGGTTGTTTTCCCTTTCATTGGTGTCAGAAGTGGCACCCTAACCTGTTCATTTCAATATGCCCTCCCAGCACCTGCGATCATCTTCCATGACGCCTTCTTAGCACCCATCACCGGCAAGAGTTAATTCTTCAGCCCTCTGGCTCAGGTAAGTCCTTCTCTTATGGATGCCCTGGGTGTGGAAATTTGGACTCTGGTAACCAGGACATAAGACTCCATCTGGGACACAGACCGGACGTCAGGTTCTGTGTCTCTCATAGTGAGTTTGGAACTCACCAGAACAAGTCCAGGACTTGTCCATTCTGCCCCCCGCCCGCTGGAGGGATGCCTCAGAGGGTGGTGCGTCCTCCTTTAACAGGCCCCCTCCTTGTGGCAGGGACGCCTCCTCTGGGAGCCAGGGTCTCCATACCTCAGACTGGGTCTGAGGTGCGAGCACTATCTAAACCTCAAGAGACGTCTTAGGTTCTAGGCACTGTTCGTTGTCTTATTACTGGTTGCTATGGGTTCTGGGTCCTCCATACCGGCAGTCTCCCTTAGGGTGTTTGCTCCGAAACCTTGAGGGCTTAGACCTTTAATCTAAGTGTCTTATATGTCTATCTACTCAAACTTGGCATCAATACAAATTAGACAACCAAAATATCTGGCCACCTAACGGCTTGTTTGAATCAGTTCTAATCCAAGACCTATTTAACTTTTGTGAGCCCCAGGGAAAATGGTCAGAGATCCCATATATCCAGGGTTTTTCTTACCTTCAACTTTCTCTTTGTTTCATTGCTTGTACTCCATCAGCCAATTTGACCCAGCTGATGAATTCCCTCCCTATCAAAGAGCCCCAAGTGTACCTCCACCCCCCACTTTGGTCCTTCTCTCACCTTCTTCAGGTCCCCAGGAACTTCCCTTACCATCTTCTTCTTCTTCTCCTGCCTCTTCCCCTCTGTATGCGCTGCCTTGTACTCGTTCCAAATCTCGAAGGTTAATGGACCCTGAGTTTTCTCAGACCAGTCATATAATAACACCCTTGCGGGAAGTGACTGGGGCAGAAGGAATTGTCCGAGTCCATACCCCTTTTCCAATGGCAGAGTTAGCTTTAATTAAATCTAGACTTGGGTCTTTTACTTCAAATTCTGCACTTTTTATTAAGCAGTTTCAATTTCTAAAGTAATGTTACCAACTAATTTATCATGATATTTTTGTTGTTTTAACTAACTCTTTAACCCCTGAGGAGGGTAGGCAAGTGCTGGAACAGGCCAATGCTCATGCAGACCAGGAACACCTCACTAATAACAATCACCCAGCAGGAGCCGAAGCCGTCCCTGACAGGGACCCCAGATGGAATTATAATACCCAGGCAGGTATTGTCAACCGAGATAGGTATATTAATTGCATACTGCATGGGCTGCACAAGGCAACCATGAAAGCAGTTAATTATGACAAACTTAGTGAAATTATTCAAGATAAGAACGAAAATCCTTCCGCATTTCTCCAGAGGCTCACTGACAGCCTGCGGCAATATACTAATCTCGATCCAGACTCTGCCATTGGACAAAGGTTAATTATGGTGCATTTTTTCTGTCAGAGTTACCCCGACATCAAAATAAAACTTAAGAGGCTAGAAAGGGGTCCCCTAACCCCTCAAGCAGAGGCTCTCACTGTTGTATTTAAAGCCTACAATGGCAGAGATGATGCAAAGTCTGTAAAAAAAGTACCAGTTATTAGCTCAGGCCACCAACCCCACCTTGCCACCACATTTAAGAGGGAAACCTGCAAAGCCTCTGGGACCCTGCTTCCAGTGCAACCAGCATGGACATTGGGCCAAAGAATGCCCAAATCCCAAACCTCCCACCAGGCTTTGCCCCAAATATAAGCAGAAGGGACATTGGGGTTTCGACTGCCCCTTGGCGTCTACCTGCCTTCCGGTCACTGCCCCCCCCCCATCCCCTCAAGCGACCTTATTGGTCTAGCAGTAGAAGGCCTATAAGGAGGCCCTGGCTTGTCTGGACCAATGTGGACAACTGCCCAGGAGCCCAGGGTAAATTTCACCGTGGTAGGTAGGATGATCACCTTTTTACTCAATACTGGTGCTAGTTTTTCTTCATTGCAGGAATTCTGGGGACTCACCTCCCTGTGCAGGACCTCTGTTGTTGGGGTAGAAGGTCAAAGACAATGCCCACGGCAAACTCCCCTCCTTTTATGCAAATTTGGCAATTTTGAATTTTTATGTTCCTTTTTAGTCCTTCCCTCTTGCCCCGTACCTTTCTAGGGCGGGACATCTTATCTCAAGTTTGACTTTCAGGGCCTCTCTAGCACTCCAACATCTTCCTTTTGCCTCTTACTATTGCAGACTATTGAACCTCAATCCCTTTCTTCCCAGTGGCCCATCAGTCCCCACCTTGTGAATCCAAAAGTTTGGGACATACATTCCCCTTCAATAGCCAAATGCTCTCCACTCAAAATCCTCCTCAAAAATCCTACCCATTTCCCAGCCCAAGAATAATACCCTCTCCTACAGTCTAATCTTTTAGGATTACAGACAATTGTTAAAGAATTACTTGAAGAAGGATTTCTAAAACCATTGCTGATTTGTTAAACTATGAAAACCTACAGGATTTACCCCTTGTAGGATTATTTCGCTTCAAACCTCACTCCTTCATGATCCCTCATTAACCTTCCAGTTGTGCCCGGTCCTTAATTCTTCCACCCTACTCCCTGTGCCAAACCAGGAACTGATTCACAATTGCTTAGAAGCCTTAAAAGTTTTCTTGCCACATGACTCACACATCCAGGAAGGACCTCTTTCCTCCCCTGACCTAATTAGGTATAGTGATGGTAGTTCTTTCTCCCAAGATAAAATCAAATGGGCAGGCTATGCCATCGTATCTGAAAGCGAAGGTATAGACCAGGACTCCCTTCCTCCTCAAACAACTAATCAACAAGCAGAGCTGATTGCCCTCACACAGGCCTTTACCTTAGCTTTGGAAAAAAACACTCACGGTTCATACAGTTACCAAATATGCCTTCCATATTCTGCTTTCACATGCAGTCATTTGGAGGGAAAGAGGTTTTTGTTCCACCAAAAGTAATTCCATCCAGATTTCTAAATTTATTATGGAACTACTAAAGGTTTCCAGGCTGCCCGCAGCCATTGGCATTGTCCACTGTAAAGCTCACCAGTCAGACCAGTCACCTACAACCAAGGGAAACAATTTGGCCGATTGCATAGCAAAGAAAGCAGCCTTAACACTGACTGTACTCCCTAGTGCCTCAGTAAATCAAGGAGCAGAAACTCAGAAGTCGAGCTTGACCCTCGATCAACTTAAGTACCTTCACAAAAGTTTCCACCGCAACTCTCGAACATTTTTTACCTTTTTAGAACCATTAGTCACTCTCTCCCTGTCTGACAAGCAATTTTTACAATATCTTTCTTCCACCTGTGAAATTTGCCAAAAGACAAATCCATCTTCTACACCCACCCCTTTTCCTACACACCAAGCCAGGGGTCTGTTCCTCAGCCTGGATTGGCAAATAGACTTCACCCATATGCCCAAAGTTAAAAGGTGCAAATATCTTTTACTTCTAGTTGACACCTTTTCTGGGTGGGTTGAAGCTTTTCCTACCAC